TGAATCCTATTGTATAAAGGATGATGTTTGGAATTGGATCGTACTTTATATGATGAAATTTATGAAATGATACCCTTTATCAAAAATCCACAAAAAGAGCGAGGAATTGGTAATAAAAAATTTAAAAATCTTTTTTCACCTCTTATTTAATGTCAGCGATACTTATATTTTAAATTTTATAAAGTTCAAAGACCTTATGGTATCGTACGTATCGAAATTATTTGCGCAAAAAATCTTAAGAAGGTCGATACATGCTTTGATGGTGGTGCCTCCGATCCGTATGTTAGAATATCAAACATTGCCACAGGTTGGGTGTACGGTGATTCACATGTCATCTACGACAACTGCAATCCTGTCTGGGATCAAGTATTTTATATTCCAGTCTATGATGTTTATGGACAATTAAATTTACAAGTTTTCGATTATAATGCTTTCTTTGAGGATACACTTTTGGGATTCTATATATTTGATCTCAAATCTGTAATTAAGCTTCATGATGGTACTTCCAAAGAAAAGCAATTCAAAAAACTTGATGCTAATCTCATTTACAAAGGGTGCAATAGAGGCAAATTATCATTTGTCGCTGACTTTTTTTCATCCAATGAATTGGAATTGGATTTAGAAGTTATTAGCCCAACTACTGTTTCGATTCGACATTTATATCTCCTAATAATTTATCAAAGTCAATATGGATTCTTTGACCTTACTGACTCATTAGCAAGATTATTCAACTTCTCATCTAAAAAACTTATTAAAGCCTTTTCTGATTATGTACAAAAGGATGAGGAGGTTCGTAGTTTGGATCACAAAATTTGGGCCACTGCGCTTGCCACATCCTTCCTCAAGGTATTAATGTGGGAACACCGTCGTGAGTGGATGAATATTTACAATGAGGCTGAAAGCTGGTTGAGTGAAAATGTCATCGATGTTGAAGTCGAAGAAAGTCTTTATAATTATTCGAACAAATTCGTTATTCAACTCTTTGAAGTTACTCAATGGGTAGACGAGGATCAACAAAAAAGTGTGGGAGGTAAGAAAAGTTATTATTTTTTGTTAATAATTTATGTGATAGTCGATAAATTAAAAAAAATCTAAGAAAGTAGAATGAAAATTTTATTATCATGAATTATTTTAATGATTAAACCATTGTCTACAGCAGAGTTTAGTACAGATTATTTACTTGGGCAATACGAATGTTTCTGACAATTTTCTTTCGTTACATATTTTTAATTCATCGACTAGAATATATTACTTGCATAAATTTTTTGTATGCCAGTTATTAATGTTTATGATATTGATTTATTAATCATTTCATATTACCAGTCATATCTAATAAACCACTTATTACCCGGAAAGAAGCTGATATCCATAGTGTTCATCGGTTCATCACTTATCAGAATGAATCTGGTTGTTTCAGACTTACCACTCAATTAGCTGAAGCTTTGGGCTTCAACTCGCTTGAAGAGGCCAAGAAACATTTTGAAACTTATTTTTCTTCCTATTCACCAAGAACTGCTCAATTTGATATTAATGTTTGGAGTACTGCTATTTTGATTTGGTTTATTCGATATGTATTAGTTGATTTCAGAAATGAGTGGACAGACGTATACAAAAAAGCATATAATTGGCTTTGTCAACAAGTGAAAGATGATAAAGTACGAGATGAACTTCTTGAGGCTGCTAGAAACTTTGTTGTTAAAAGGTTTGAAGTTGAAAAGAATGCTATTGAAGAAGACAAGTCTTTTAAGGTTTCTATTGAAGAAGAAGACGAAAGGAAGAAACAAATGACTGGTATATTTGATTAAAATTTTATAAACAAAATTACTGTTTTTTTGTATTTTAAACATTGTTTTTTTTTTTTTTTTCGAAATTTCAATCTCCTTATCTGATACTAAAGTTAGTCGAAGTACTACTACTGACACAGTTGTTAAAAAGTTTGTTACTTATCGTACAAAGGATGGTTGCTATAAACTTAACGATGATATTACGCAACACCTTGGATTTCATAATAAAGAATCCTTAGAAAAAGCATTACGTAGTCACTTTATTTCTGAAAATTTGTCGAAGCTTCATAATGACATTTTGGTCACTGCTGTAGCGATATGGTATTTCCGTTTGTTGGGTATAGATCATCGTGAACACTGGTCTAATGAATGCGATGTATTACATAAATGGTTAAGTTCACAAATTAAGGATCCTCAAATCGAACGTGAACTTTTGGAATCTGCCAAACAATTCATGATAAAACGTTATAACATCGATGACGAGGTTGTCGGACTCGATGCTTCATACCATGGTAATAATGAGCTTTATTTACAGTGATATTACACATTATACTGTACTAACTTTTGGTGTCGGATCATTTGAACCGTGACACAGATAGATATGTAATCGATAAACCAATAAGAAGTGAGACTGAAAAAGATGATGAACTAATACTAATCGACAGGCATTATAAAAAGACCAAAAGTCTTATTCTTGATAAAAATATCGAATATATCATTTCGAATGATAAAGAACCCGGTCAAACGGAAAAGGAAGCTGCATTTGTCATTGCTCAGGAACGTGTTACTCCCGAGGTCTGCAATGCAATTACTTCTACAGCATATGATGACGGTCGTATTGAACTAAACGAAACATTATGCAAAGAACTCGATCTTCCAATAGAGGAAATTATTAATACAGTTCAGAAAAACATTACTAATAAAAAACTTAAATCACCCAAATCGTCATCATTATTTTCAACTGCAATTAATCTTTCTTATCTTAAAAATGTCGCATATAAACTTGAGGATCTATGGAAAAATGAATACGATAAAGCCCATGAATATCTTTCGAAGCAAATAGGAGATGCTGATGCCAAAAAAGAACTTTTGGAGTTCACAGATAATTATGTAATCGATATTTGCGCTAAAAAAACGATTAAGGACGAAAAGAGGTCTGCTATTGTATATTTTCAAATATCAACAACCCTTGATAAATATGAAACTGCTATCTCTAAACAAAAAGATGATGGATCTTTTGAATTAAGTGAGATCATTTGTAAAGAATTAGAAGTTCCTATAGAAGACATTGTAACTACAGTCAAATCAAGTACGCCTAACGAAAGACTACAATCTCCTGGATCAGATCCATGGTGGAAGACAGCACTTACTATTAGTTACCTTCAAGTTGCCGTCCCTCATTATAAAAATCATTGGAAAGACAAATATAACAAAGCTCGTGATTATCTATCTAAACAAATTTGCGATGAGGATATTGAAAAAGAATTATTAAAGTGCACTAATAAATATGTGATCGATCGAGCACACGATAAAGCTATTAGACATAACATTCAAGAAAACATTCATGTTACTAAACTTGATTTTACTGAAGATACTGTTCGAGAAGTCCATGATGGCTTACGTTCCTTCGTTGATGAAGACACTGCTCGTATAATTTGCGATGCTCAGCAAGAAGACGGTTCCTTTACTTTGAGTCCTTTTATAACTGACCATCTCGGCATAAAACCAGTTGACGCTGTTAAATCCCTTAAGAAGTTAGTTTGTAGTCTCCAACTAAGAGGATGTGATGATTCTGTTTGGTACACGGCTTTTACAATCCATTATATTAAGACCATATTAACAAATCATAAAAATGAATGGCAAGGTGCCTATGATCGTGCTAGTAAATGGCTGCGTAGTCAGTTCGACAATAAATTGGTGATGGAATTACTTTCAGCATGTAGACAATACTTAATTAAACAAGGTTGCCGTCTTCTTTATTCAATTCAAGATACGAGATGTTTTAGGGTTCACAAACTTGATATCGACGAAGAAACACGTAAAGCAGTTTTTGATTATTTACGCTCTAGGAGCACAGCTGAAATTGCCCGTTCATTTTGTTCTGCGCAACAAAGCAATGGTTCATTTTCTTCACAACCTTTAACCACGTTATATCCATTAATTCCTCCGCCGACAAATGCTGTTGAATCTCTTAAACTTTTTGTCGGTAGCCCAAAACTTAGAACTTGTGGTGATTCAATTTGGCATACAGCATTTACAATTTATTACCTTAAAAATATTTTGGTGAACCATAAGGAAGAATGGACCCATGTCTGTGACCGCGCCAGCATCTGGATAACTGAGCAGCTTGAGGATACTGAAATAGAACATGAGCTATACTCAGCTTGTGACCAATATTTAATTAAACAAGGTGTTGAATTCATTAACAATGATATAGAAGAGTCCGAAGAAGAGTTAGAGGTTATTGCATTTCGAGTTAACGAAGAAACACGTAAAGCCGTTCATAAAAGTCTCCGTGATGATGTCACAAAGGAAGTCGCTCTCACACTTTGTAACTCTCAAAAAAACGACGGCTCATTCATCCTACACGAATTAATTTCTGACCATCTTAAAATCCAATCAATCGACATCGCAGTTGAATCACTCAAGCGTTATGTAAAAAGCTTGTTGCTAAGAAAATATGATTCTTCTATATGGTGTACAGCACTTACAACCACGTATTTAAGAACTGTGTTGCCTAACTATGAGGAAGATTGGCGACCTGTTTGTGAACGTGCAGCAACGTGGATTAGTCAATGTTGTAGTGACTCTGAAGAGGAACAAGAATTGTACTCTGCATGTGACCAATTCTTAATTAAACAAGGTATCGAAGCCCTTAATGAAAAAAAAAAATAGACGAGCAGGCCTTTCTAAAAAACGATCAGTAGATAATGGTGAGACTAGTTAAGTTATTACACCAGGCTTCGATCTTCTTAATAATTCCAAAGAGTTAACATCCAAATCTGCCGAAACTCTTACGGATCTGATGACGAACCATTGATATGGGAAAATTCTAATATTGTGAAACTATTAACATGGATAAGATTGTAGCATACTATCGTATATAATTTTTCTTGTAATGAATTATATGTCACGTTTTTTACTTTATCATTTTAATTAGGAAATATATATGTAATCAAAATATAAATATTCTATTTTTATTTAATTTTAGGTTTTGATTATTGTTTAATGAATTTTTTATTTTAGATGAATAAAGACTATTCAAGGTCTTTCTGATTTATCGTAAAGGATAAAATGTAGTCATTAGGAAATGTTCAATATTTAGGTCTTGCCAAAATTTTTATTTATTTTTTTTTTTTTACTTCAGCGATCCTACTTTTATTTTTTACATCGGCAGTAAATTACAAAAAAGCTCTTGGCTAGCTTAACCTACATGCAAATTTCTAAATTACTGTATGCCTGTACAAATAAAAATTCTCTCGATTTATCTCATTATCACAATAAGAAATAAAGTAAACCCTAAATCTTATGCTAGAGTATGACCCAGGAGCGACCCGCCTAA